CCTCTCCTGAGTCTGCATGTATACCTAAACCTGGCTACCCCAGTGCTGCGCTTTCCCTTGGTGGTTATACTATGCCACATTATTGCACTTTAACAAGTAACTGCACACAATTTAAGTTGGTCCTAGTCGGTTGGACTAGTCAGTCACATACGCAGTAAGAGTCATCACACAACACCTGATTTAATTCACTTACTAAGCTTAGGGTGCAGGGAGTTCAATCCTGTTCTCTTAATCTTCCCTATAAAGTGTGTGGTACCCAGTGTAATATCAGTCGGACACGGTTTATTAGCATGTCAACTTAAAATAATACTGACTCGCATCTCCATGTCTGACTAGTTATGTAAATCACCACACTAACTGTACTCATCTCCAGTTAAGTATATTAGCTTATGGCTATGCTACCTTGTTTTGACTAACTCTTGTTCAGATACCATGTTGACTTCTCTGATAAGCTTGCTTATTTCTTATGCATAAACAAAACAAAAAAAAGCGCAACAAATCCTCTTTACCATTTTGTTGCTGCATCAATTCATGTAACCCGTTAAATGTATTAACTTCAAAATGTATCTGACAATGCGCTTCAAAAATAAAGAATTTTAAAAATGCAAAAATGTCCTAACAGCTTAACTAATGCACACACTAAACTACTATAGAGAACATTACAGAATGATTTACTAATGTGAGAAACCAAAGGGAATTTAAATTTCAAATTTAAAGGGATACAATAAGCACCAAAACAAGTTTAGCTTAATGAAGCAGTTTTGGTGCATAGTTCAGCCACCTCCAGTCTCACTGCTCAAATGTTTGCCATGTATGAGTAAAATTACAGTGGCACCTCGGTTTACAAACGCCTCGGTTAACATAATTTTAGGTTTACAAATGAAAATCCATTGAAAATAATGCCTCAGTTTACAAATTTGTTTCGCTATACAAAGCAAGTTTACCCAGGATGCATTGCACCTGTGCATTGCACCTGTAGCACCGCCCCCTGCATGCTGGAGCCTGTGGGTAGCACGTGGCGTCCAGTGTGGAGGTGTTGGAGCGGCTTTTGCATCAAGTTTTGGAGCCATGCTGGAAATTGTTTTCAGTTGTTTTGGGACTTTTTGGTGCATTTCTCAAGCTGTGGAAAGGTAAGGAGCTGTGCTTCGTCGTTTGCATGTCTTTTATTGTGTGTTCTGCATTGTGGGTTGGTTTCCATGCCAGCTCATTTTGACTTTTTTTCTGACCTCTAGAACGGATTAATTGGTTTTCAATGCATTCCTATGGCAAACGGCACTTCGGTTTACAAATTTTTCGCAATAAGAAACGTCTCGGAGAACACATTAAATTCGTAAACCGAGGTCCCACTGTACCTTGATTATAGAGCCCTAGTCATATCTCCCTGCTTGTGATTTGCCCAACCTTTCTAAACTCTTTCTGAAAAGGAGCCAAGATATTCTAGGTTTCTTTATTGCTCAGTCTGTTTAATCATGAATTTATAATCTCCTGCTCTGTTAATAGCATTCTAGAGCCTGCAGGAGCTTATTTGGGTATGATTAAAATGTAATTTACTTAGCAAGAGATTAAAAAAAACCTCTAAAGCTAGTTAACATCTGATGAAACCTATTTTCATGCAGCCTGTGTGAGTCAGAGCCAGAGGAGGTGTTGCTAGGACTGCATAAACAGAAACAAAAGTGATGTAGCTCCTAAATGCCTGAGAATTGAGCAGTGAGATTGCAGGGGCATTATTTATACACCAAAACTGCTTCATTAACCCCTTAAGGACACATGACGTGTGACATGTCATGATTCCCTTTTATTCCAGAAGTTTGGTCCTTAAGGGGTTAAACTAAGGTTGTTTTGATGCTTACAGTATCCCTTTAAGGCCAAAAAAACTTAAATGGAAAAATTATATAAGTCAGCTGGATTTTTCTGCTTTTCTACTATGGCCTTACATTTGAAATTCACTTTGAATTCTCACTTTAGTGAATAACCCTGACTAGTGAAAAATGAACATGAGCATTTACAAGAAAGAATTATACAATAGCTAACAATTTAAACTGTATTGGCCCACATTACCAGTGGATCTCATTAATTATTTTTCATTTAAAGCTTTTCAGCTTTTTCTCCACTTCTAACAAAATGCTGTTTTTCAATCATTGGTGTTCAAATAAGGTAGAATACCTTTTATTAATACATTTTGAAGGTATCTTAACCTTCCTGGCGGTCTGATTATGTCAGTATTTTTTAATGTTAAAGCGGTACATTGTTTTTACAATGTATTGTGTGTATTTCTTTACACCAGGGGCTCATAGGGACAAGGTAAGTGATACTACAGTGTAATCCTGAGCGTGGCTCAGGGTTACCGCTATTGGTACTGAAAATTAACCCTGAGCCAATCTCACAATTATCACCAGGAAGGTTAGAGGAACGCAAACATGCATTCCTGACCCTATAATACATGTTTTTTACATGTTAAAAAAACACCATCTATGATTACAAGCAGTCACACGAGATTCTAAGACCAGACAGAGCAATCTGTTTACAGAGGCCAACCCAGTACCACGTACTGAAAGATGACCTAGGAATGTTATGGAAAGTGAAGGCAGTAATAGGGTTCCAGACGTGATAGAAGAACTTGAGGTATATCCTTAAGTGGGAGCATTGCTTCAAAAGATTCTAGGTGGGACAACTCTTTCCACAAAAGTTCAATTCTAGGAACAGCTAATAAACTAAGATACAAAATATAATTCACAAAAAATAATGGGAATTTAGTTACAGTCTATCATCTTACATTGCTTAAACCTGCCACAACGTCAAAGCACCCCATTATTAGCAGGTCCTATCCTAGCAACCTAATGCCTGCTCTTATGAGAGTAACCTACCTTTTTGGGAAATCCTTCTTACTTTGGGTCAAGGTTAAATATGGCCCTGAAATTAAGCACATGTGACAGGAAAAAGGTGCAAAGCCAAGACAGTTGGCCTGGTCTGGACCCCATGTTTGATTTGTGGTTCGGAGTTCTGTCCCTGGCATTAAAAAGAGAGATGATTAATTGTAAAAAAGATGACTGATGTATAGGGGACAGTCGTTAAATGTTGATTTTTCTTCACAGATCAAGTAAGAAGTGACCAACAGGGTGGAAAAAGATAGATAGATAGATAGATAGATAGATAGATAGATAGATAGATAGATAGAGTTCAAAGCCTAGAGAGTTGGCCTGGACTCCATGACACACACACACACTCTCTCTCTCTCTCTCTCTCTCTCTCTCTCTATATATATATATATATATACATATATGTATACACATACACATATATATATATACATACACACACACACACACACACACACACATATATATATATATATATATATATATATATGAGATATGCAACATTTAAAAGAATACAGGTGTGATTTAGTTGATATACAAAGTGCTTGTATCACATGAGCAGCTTTAATCTATATTCCTCGGAATCACGATGAAATATTCAGGCTTCCACAAAAATCATAAATAAACCATAAATTCTGTGGCAGCAGAATTGGGGAAAATGATATGTTTGCATTCAACAGGCTGACTTTAGGAGTTGCAATGTTTAGTCTACTAATTTACAACGTACGAGTCCTAAATGACAACATACAAACACCAGCATGTCTTGTTCTCTGTATAAGCAAAATTTACAATAAAATTGACTCCTACAATACCATAGGGGGTGTGAGGTATCACAGTTCAATATTCCTCAGTTGTTTCTAGCACCGTTGGGGTAAAGGTGTGGTGAAACACTTGCAAACATTAAATAAGTTTGGTCCCTGCAACGCATCTCATTGTTATGTTTTCCAAGCTAGGAATTGATTTGTTTCATAAACCACATAACATAAAAAATTAACTAAACACAAAGCAAAGCTTGTGCTTGGAATTAATAAGGAAAATATTTGTGTGTGACTGTGTACATTGGTGCTATTGATGCTCTGAATGCTCTGCATTAATTCACAACAATTAAGAGGGCCCTCTTTTTTTGTTCTTGAAATTCATATAGAAAGTTTAATATTCTAAATCCACAAAGCACAGACAGTGGCAGGAAGGATATTTAAGCAAAAGGAATCCATTTAATTCCTGCGCACAGACTCTTAGCAGACTTTAAAAATATGGTTGCTAAAGGTATACTAATGGCAAATTACATATCTAAAATATCTTAAATATCTACAATAAATAACAAAATTTGCGCATCATTTCTTAGTATTTTACTGTAGGTAAAAAATAATTTTGAATTTTTTATTTTATTTTTTTTGTTTGCTCTTGGTTGTTCTTTATTTACGGTACATTTTTCTTCTAGTGAATGAGCTAGCAAAATGCTTGGTAAAACCTGCTGTGCATTATCAATGTTTCTGTAGACAGCAGATACTAGCAGTGGTGTGGACTTGAGTCACATGACTCTGACTTGACTTGGACTCAAGTCACAAATTTGATGACTTGATACTCGGCTGAACATAATCAAAGAAGACTTGGGATTTGATTTAGACTTTGACAGCAATGGCTCGAGACTTGACTTGGACTTGAGCCCTGTGACTTGGAAAATCTTTATACCTTCTAAAATAAAAGATCAAAGTTGCCATCAATCTAGGCTGGATCCTGGAGAAGGACATACAAAGCAATATATTTAAAATACTTAACTCATTTATTTTTCTAAATTATAGCCTAAGATATTCATTTGTGGTCAAACTATACAAAATAATAAAATGTCATGGCAGTAATTAACAAATTATTACCAGATGATACAAAAACACCTTATCTTTTAATAAGTGTTGTGTTTAAAATGCTGGTGCACAGGCGGGCGGAGCCAAGCTACTAACCTGAATGGCGGCATGTAACCGAAGCTCCGTGACAAATAGCCACATTGGACCCTCTATTGCAGCCCAAATCTCCCACAAAAGGCACCAAACAGTACCAACAACGGAGAAGGAGATGGGTAGAAAAAAAAAAGCGTGACCTACCCAAACAGAGTGGAGACCTCTGGAGGCTGGCCCGCAGCATGGTGAGCGCCAACATGGCTAACTACTCCGAAGACTGCTCAGACATTTCAGATGACTTCACTAGCGGGACAGAAACACATCATCCACCCGCCATGCCGGCCCCTCTCCCGACTCACCCACGAGCGGATACGTCCCCGGTGACCACAGGGGTAATGAAAGAGCTGCAACAGCAACATCGCAAAATGGAACAGCATTTTCCAGAACTGGAAAACCAACGAAGGGGCCTGAAACTCAAGATCAGGGGAATCGGAGAGGAGATACAGGAGTCAGAGGTGCCGCATTTTGTCAGGCGACTGATGTCGGCTCTCCTGCCCCCTAAACAGGCCAAACCTTGCGTGCATAGGAGCACAAGAGTAGAATGCCCATGCCTGTACACAACGCGCTCTCCACCACAACCTGACAGCCACCTTATTTCTAGAAGTGACTCCTGCCTAAAATGCCTACCACACCAGCAACCCAACTAGAGATAGGACCACATGCCTAGACATAATGGGCTCATCAAGCTCTAGCACCCACTACCCAAAATAAATTCCCTCAGCTCATGGCCCTAGACCCAACCATGATGGACACCATGGTTCCCTGCCACGTATGTTTACTGTATTGCGATTGTCTATCCCATGTAAAGATATATTATGCTAAATCTATGACCTGAGTCAAAAATAAAGAATTTTTAAAAAAAATGATGGTGCACAGGGCATATTTAAATACACTTTTGAAACAGCTAACATGTTTATTACAAATATGTTGCTAACTAAAAATGTAATTCAACTATGTACATGTATATTTTGACTGCAAAGTCCATTAAAGCCTGCTCCTTGCTCAATGTGTTCTGTATTGAGTTTAATAATATTCTTTTTATATAATTTTTGTTGTTGTTGTGCAGGTAGGTACATATCAACGTCAAACGCCACAACAGCGTACATATTTGTAGACATAGGCTAGACTGTGGCATGAGTAATTGCACATTTTCCATTTATAAACAAGCTTAATGTATGTGATGAGACTCGTGTAATTTAGTATGGGTATGAAGCAAGAGTGTGTTACAAGGAGTAGCATATGTTAAGCAGGCAAGATATTAGCTAGTAACTTGCTTGGCTGTCCTTTAGTATAGGCAAGAGTACAACACAGTTAGTTTAATGTCTGTTGGAGTTTTAGCATTGTGTATATACATAGAGTGTGTGTTATGAAGAAAGCTTTTAAAGGTGAGCCTTCGCAATGTTACTAGTGAGTAGCCCCTGGGTTGCCCTAACATAGTGTGGAGTGTACGTAGATAAAGGCATGCAAACAGAAAATCAACTATAACATAACATAAAAAAACAGCATCATCAGCACGGGTATAGAAGGGCAGCATAAGGAAACGTGTCCATGAGAATGTGGGTGATCTGCACAGGGTAATATGGCGATATCAGCCAATGCCTCGGCCCGGCACTTTGGGAGAGTCTCTGGGTGTTGCTGTATGAGGTAGGTATGCCAGGGTGTCATCTCTCACACTCTGGGCCTTAAAGGGGGCCTGCGTCTGGGATATATTGAACCGGGCTATGTGATATATCAAGTCCCTCCCCGCCAAGAGACTGTGGGGGACTTGGGTGGTCCACCTCTGAGTGCGGGTGCCATGGCTCTGCCGTCGTGGTTCGTGGCTGTAACCAGAGCGGCCCTTCATCTTGGTGGGTTATAATGAATGTGCGCTGATGCTTTGTGGGGTACTTTGCCCACAGGAGACCCAGGCTCTGCGCAGCTCCCGCCACTTCACCTCATCTCCTGTTGCTGAGGCTGTGAGTTCTGCTTTCAAGCTTTCATCTTGTGCCAGAATCGCTCAAACACTTTGTCAAGGTGTTGTAGCATGCCTTATACCAAGCCCAATACGTTAGTCACAGGTCTGTGCAGTTTGCGCCCCTGTTCAGGGAGCTTGTCCGACATCTTAAATGAGTCGGCCGGGCTCACTACATGGTCAGCGGGCAACTGGGTGCAGCGTGTGGATATGGAGCTAGCCAGGGGGATCGGGATAACCCCCACCGGTCCAAGGGGGAGAGGGGATAGCACTAATCGAGTATCTCACCGCCAGTCGAAGTAGTAGGACAGCGGCCGCCTCTCCTCCACACGATCACTGGTAGGCCACAAAGCCTCGAGTCAGGGTTTCCAGTGGCGGGGAACTCCACGAAAGGGATCCCCAGCACCACCGGCATTACAATCACAAACGTAGTCGTGCTTTGCGTCAAGGTAAGCTATTTGCTCGAAAATAATGTTAGTTTTAGGGTGCCATTCGTGGGAGCTCAGGCAACACACACGTCTGGACTGCTCAGTAGCCAGGCACCGCCCCTCTCCCCCCTTTCCACACCACCGCAAAACAATTGCTTGGTCCCACTTCTACCTACTAGCACCTGTTAACTAATGCATGCAACAATTAAAACAATGGAAATCCAATGGAAATCAATTGCGCATCAAAAGAAGGTTATTGGTGTAAGGCATATACCATGCAAAGCATTTTATCTTTAGCCAATTAGACAGCAGCAAGTTAGCACATGCATCTTCAAATTCACTGTTTTATATATTAGGTGGGAATGGTGTGTGATGGAGAAAAAGGAGAAAGAAAGGATGGGAGAGAGGGAGGTCAGGAGATTCCTAGGAAAGAAAATATATTGAGGACAAACACCAAAACAGGCACACAGTGTGCTAGAATCACTGGAAAGCAGTGTGAGTCTACATACAAAGAAAAAGATTTCCCACCCACCCAGCCTCCCTACCTTTTGGGAAAGCTGGCATGGATGGGTCCCTGGGGTCCAGTGGGGCTGCAGTGAGGCAGACAGCTCTTCTAATCAGAGGTGGCTATGGAGCTATTATCTCTCCGCTCTGCTCCCTCGTCATATTCTGGCACCTGGTATCAGCAAACGGTGTGCGAGGGAGCAGAGAGAACACAGAGAACCGCCTGTGACAGGTTCCCGCCAGGGGGGTCCATCAGGTGGCCCCTCCATGACAGGAGGAACAGGGAGGGCATTTGGGGGCGGCATTTTTTGCTGTGAAAAAAGTGCAGGATAGCCGTTTCCACGTGTTCCTGCAGGACTCGAGCCCTGTGTATGTGAGTGTCTCTGCCATTGCCTGTGTGTGACTTTCAACTCCATTTAGTACATTGAAGAAATAGAAAGTTACTTCTCCAAAGATGTTTTGTGACTTTATTTAAGGATACAGAAATGCAACATTTCATTTATTTCAGTGACCTTTCTCAAGGGTTGATATATATAGATTTTATGCATTTGGCACTTAATAACTATATCAGTGGAAAATCTAGCCCTTCAGAATAAATGAATTGGACACCTCTGGTATAGGCAATATTTACAAGTAGGATACAGTACATTTTATGGGGTACTGATGGGCCAACCAATGACAACCTTTTTATACTGTAGATCACTGTAGATCAGGGTTCTCCAAACTCTGGCCCTCTAAATGATGCTGAACTACAACTCCCATGAGTCTTTCTATAAATATATAGTCAAAGAATCATGGAAGTTCTAGTACAGCAACATCTGGAGGGCCAGAGTTTGGAGAATCCTGCTGTAGATCATCACATTCATCCAATCATGTTTGTTGTATTGCACAATTTCATATCTCTTTTTTCTTTAGTCAAAGTTATAGCCTCAACTTTAAAGGGACTCTATAGTCACCTGAACAACTTTAGCTTAATTAAGCAGTTTTGGTGTATAGAACATGCCCCTGCAGCCTCACTGCTCAATCCTCTGCCATTTAGGAGTTAAATCCATTTGTTTATGAACCCTAGTCACACCTCCCTGCATGTGACTTGAACAGCCTTCCATAAACACGTGCTGTAAAGAGAGCCCTATTTAGGCTTTTTTTATTGCAAGTTCTGTTTAATTAAGATTTTCTCATCCCCTGCTATGTTAATAGCTTGCTAGACCCTGCAAGAGCCTCCTGTATGTGATTAAAGTTGAATTTAGAGATTGAGATACAATTATTTAAGGTAAATTACATCTGTTTGAAAGTGAAACCAGTTTTTTTTTTTCATGCAGGCTCTGTCAATCATAGCCAAGGGAGGTGTGGTTAGGGCTGCATAAACAGAAACAAAGTGATTTAACTCCGAAATGACAGTGAATTGAACAGTGAAATTGCAGGGGAATGATCTACACACTAAAACTGCTTTATTTAGCTAAAGTAATTTAGGTGACTATAGTTAATCATTAGTTTTCCCCATACCAGAGGAATCTGGTAAACTTTTGTAATATGCAAAATTGTTAAATATAATGTATTTTTCTCAACTCATATGTGATGTAGATATGACTATGGTACATTAATTCTCAGATCAATATAAAAAGGGGTTAGTTCATGTGTGCAAAAACCCAACAGTGATGCAATTTTATTCAGTGTAATAGTTGGGAATGTAGTTTATTCTTATGATATAACTTAGTACTTGTAGACAAAGCTACAAATAGACAAACAGAAAATCACATAGCTGTAATGCAATGTATTCAGCATGCAAACATGTCAAGTACAAATATTACCCTCTACTGGGTGCAAAACAGGCCCCAACCCCTCTTTGATATTGCACAATCACCCTAACAATCATTTACATATGTCAGTGCTAAGCTAAATATTGAAGCTCCAAATTTCTGATTCATAACAAAAAAAAAACCTGAAAATATACAAATAAAATTCACACAAATGTTCAAAACAAAAACATAAAACTTTATTCACTAATGAAAGAACTGGGTAAACAGTGTGTGGATTTGAAACATGTGGTTAAAGTAGCCTAGTTTCAACCAGACTTGTAATTCTCATATTTACAAAAGGATAATCAGTTATTTCAACAAAATCAGCACATGTCAATTGGTATAATCTGGTGTTGGGTTTAAAATTTGTAATTCTCACACGCACCAGGCATAAAATGCTATATGCATAATAAGATATTCAAAACCCCAATATCTGTCAATTGACAGTACAAGCAGGGGTAGGTCACTCTCCAATCCACCACCCACTAATGACAAGTGGTGGTTCTAATATTAAATAGCATCAGGGGAAATATTGTTGGGAGGGTGTGCCACTGAGTCATGCATCCAATAAGGTGTGTAAGCCCACCTGTGCCAAAAGATCCACAGTAATGGCAACAATTCCTGGCCTATGCCCCTTTATC